GACCCACCTCCAAGACCCTGAGACCAGAGGAACTGGTTGGTGCTCTGTGATCTCTGCTGATCACTCCAAAAAGGCTAGAGTGGGAGAAAGACATGGAACAAAACTCAAAATAACACAAAAGACCAAGTCTGACTGTGACTGGGTTAAGTAATCCTGAGACGATGGAACTTAGGCATTGGTACAACTGAAAACAGATGATTTTGTTGTTAAGTGTCATCAAGTCGGTTTGGGTTCAGAGTGACCTTGCATAGGGTTTCCAAGGAGTAGCTGGTGGGTTAGAACCAATGACCTTGTGGCTGGCAGTCAAATGCTTATCAGACAGTGCCACACCATTTCCCCAAGTCTAATGATAGACAAGTGTAGAGGTGAACAATAGCACCTGGGAGGTGGGCATGCACTTCTTAGAACAACCAAACAGACAAAATCAGGACAGCATTTGCCTGGGGGTAAAAATCAGAGGGGAAGAGAGGAGAAAGGAGGAACTGGAGCTGTAAACGCAGGGAGGGCACGAGACAGCTCGATTATACCACGGAAACAACAATCAACGTCACGCGTCAAAAGGCGAATGCATCGCTTAAAGAAAAACCAATTTGTACTGTACACTTTACCCAAATCACAACAAAAAAAATCAAAGAGAAAAAAGGCTAAACATGCTAAATATGGTATACCATCATAAAATAGACACTTGAGGGAGAGAGAAAGGAATAGCCAGAAATATAACCATGGAAAGCTTGTAAGTCCGCTTTCTACCTATAACTGATTGGAATACCTAAAATGGGGCTACAACGTGCTCAGTGAAGGAGGCTTCCTTTGGAGCCTCTGCATTACATAAGATCATAGGTGGAATCCTGAACCCCATCCAGAATCTTCTGAGATGGGAAATTTCCACTGGAAAGGACAATCAGACCAGCCTGGAGCAGCTAGAAGAACAGAAGATACTTCTTGAAAGAAAGACCAACTGAGAAAATACAGAACAATAACAGCAGTCTGACTGACTACTACAAGAACAAGCAAGTTGCTCGCCCAGGAGACATCAAGGCAAGTGGTCAGGTCCTCTCAGGGCAAACCCCCTTCCAAAACTGAGACTCAATGGGAATACACCAGCAGACATGTGCTCTGACTGGTGACCACGTTGGTTACCGATTAGGGGAAGTACGGGAAAAACAGCAATGAAGCTGCGAGCTAAGTCCAACCACATTCAATACACTCTTATGAACCCGGGTGGAGAGCTGGTTGGCCAGTAGTTTGGCAAGACCTGGGGATTCCTGGGCCCAGAGTCAGTGACATAGCCACAGAGGACTAGAGTGGAGA